TTTATACTATTTACAACGTTCCCGGTAATTTTTTTTTTTTTTTTTTCGTTTAAATCGTAGTCCCCGAAGTGTTCGTCGCACACTCATTTTCTTTAAACATTAATACGCGCGCCGGTGTAATGTCGAAGCGCGCGTGCGTTATGTTCGATCGTCGTTCCCTCGCACGGTTACACACCAGAGATGGACAGAAATTTAATCTACGTGATAAATTTCGAATAAAATGTATCATCGTATCATATATTCTATGGTGAACGAATGAAAGCTTATTCGAATAACTTCCTTCGAATAAACATCGTGAATAAATCACTGCACAGAGATTTCTTTGTCTCTGTGTTATTATACATTAATAATCTTGTTATAATTAAAGATCTGCCCATCTCTGTTACAAACGTTTTCACGCCATGAACCCCGACGAACTCGCCCCGCGCCTCTTTTCGCCCCGTCCGCCCTCAGTCGGCCGAATTTGCAGGTACTCCACCGGTACCGTATTTACGGGCGCGTTTTCAACGCGTCAAAGGTACACTCGTGTAAAAAGTACGAAATAATTTTCCCCCCGTCCCCTCGAGTGTCTGTTCTTTCAACGAAAGGCGAGAACACACCACCACGCCCTGTTCCGACGCCGTGCTTGGTATTCCGCTTGACAGCCAGCTCGATTCGAACGAAATACCGATCGTGTGGCATGAGTATTTTGTTTTCACTTGTATGCAATGTAAAGAAGACGCTCGCATCTCTCTTGTTGCTATGCACGGAACACCAAGCTCATCCGATGAGGTGGCGCTGCAGTCGCGAGACACTACATAGCGCACGCGAGTCGCACCAACGCGATGGACGAAATTTTTTAACAATCTAGCGTACGTTAAAGGACTCGCGTGCGCCAAGTGTCTTGGACGTTCATGCCAGAGCTCGTCTTCATACCATGCAAGAAAACAACGGTGTTTGTTACTGAAACGCTCCGGACATTCGCATCAAGCGCGCATATATAATTTCACACAACGTTTTCGTTCGTGCACGTGTCCCTGTGTGCGTGTACGTGTTTCTGTATGGTGTTTGTAATGTTTTATGTTATCACTTGGCCGTAGATAAGGTACTACATTGAAACGACTCGAAGAGGTGCTGTGAGAGAGTTTTCTCTGTATCGCATACTCCTCGACTAGACATTTGACCATAAATTTGTCGTTATAACAAAATCTATTAATTATTCTTCGATACACCCTCAATAACCGCCTGATGTTTCTTTGCAATGATACATTGGAATGCAAAAGTAATTCTAAAAGACGCTAATTTGTCTGCACATGCGCTGTACGACTGTCACAAAAGTACTCAGATGGCGTATCAGATAACAAAGAAGCTCCCTCGGCATATTATGGACCTTGGGAGTCGTTTCAACTCGATCTATTCTTAAATTCCCCGTAATGTTAAACATAATATTGCTCGTTGTTTTACATTAAATACGAGAGGAACGAATCGATGAGAGGGGCGGTGGATGTAACACAAAATATCAAAAAACGACGCACAATCAAATTGACAGAGCAACAACGAAAGGTTATCATACTTGAGCGAAATTGGAGAATTTCGAACTCATGGATACAATAAACGAAGGAACGAAAATTGTTAATCGGCCAAAATTCACGGTTCACGTTTGATCAATGAACTTAGCACGTACCGTGTGACTGTTACGTATATGTTTGTACCTATATACATACAAGTATCTAGCATGTTCCATGTACAATGTCTGTATGCAAGTGTAGCGTGTCGTTCTTGTATGTACGTGTGTGTACATGCTGGCTTCAACGCATTGCGCGCCGGTCCCGCAGTTACTAAAGGGACTTTTTAGCCTATCGCTTAACCGCCGGGATTCCCCTGTATATAGGGACCCTTTCATACCACACAGAACACGTTTTAAATTGAATGGGTAGTCGTTATCGATGTTTTCTTGTGTATTCATCCTTTTTACCAAACAAAACACAATTTAAACAATTAACAATAACTCTGTTAGAATATTGTTTACATGGATTGCAGTAGTAAACATTGAAGTAAACATTTTTGTTTCATGATTCAAAGTATTGGTACAAATATTATTTTCTGTTGAATATTATCTCGTGCTTGATTGATCATACATCATTTTCCAAGAAAAATTCATAATAGCATATTTTTTTACAATGTATACTGCATATTATTGGTAAAGATTTAAAACGTTTGCAAAGTGAAATTAAATAATTGCATTTGGTGCTTGATTGATCATATAAAAATATTTAACAAGAACAGAAATAGGAAATTTTCTTGTATACCGATGAAAATTTAAAACGTTTTCAAGGTATTTTACGATAAACACCTAATCGTCGCAACAGGCAACAAGACTACCGGCGCCTAGGCGATCAACGAGATCTGGCCGGCGCGCAACGTGTTCACATCGAATTAATTACAGTTTAAATCAACATGTGTCGCAAAACGTTATTGTACCTATCTCTGTTTGTTCTCTCGCGTAAGTAATCAGTCGATTTATAAATTATTATATCGCTTTATCGCGTTAGACTCGGTTTAAACGCTTAAACTTCGATTTAAGTATAGCTGCTCTCCTGGGTTCGGTTAGTGGACGTTGAGGACGAGATCGCGCGCGGATCGCCGTTCCTCTTCGCGGAGTGCGTCTCTCCGTCGAGTTTAATTAATTAATCTCTTCGTTCCACACCCCGAGTGACGGTCACCTTCGCTCTATGCCCGTCGGCCACTCTATTTTACACGTGTATATGATACATTAACGGGAGATCAGTGGCGCACAGTGGCCTTCGCGCGACGATCCGAAGGGACCGATATTAATCCCGATCTCTAAAATGCAGGTACATTTGTTAGGCGTCGTGCCCCAGAATACAGAGTGGTTTCGCCTCGAACGCTCTTCCATTCATGATCACGTGTCCCAATCTGAATACAGCCTCTAGTAAATGCTCTCGAATTCAGGGCAGCGTTGCTAGACCACCTGGACTTCTCATAGACCCACCAATGGCTACCCTTTTAGCTCCATTTCGCTATTCTTCAAATCTCCTTCAATCTCTGGCAAATGAAATTTTTCTTCTAAAACTGACTACTCGACACATTCGCTGCCCTTATTATGAGGCGAACTCGTGTTTCACCTGCCATGAAAATTGCTTATCTACTTGAAATTTCAGAGCTTCCTATACCAATAAATATTTGTTGCATCTACGTAAACATACATACGTAACGGAGGCCAGTGAACGTGTTAAACAGTTGTTTCGACATCCTCATTCTTTGTACAACTTATTCAACATTTCGTCATTGTACTCTCGTGTATACCTGTCTTTCAGGTTGTCTGCTAATTGTTCATCGGTGAAAGAAGCCCAGCTCGTCTAGCGAACTCTGATTCAGGGACTATTTAGGTTAGTCCGAGGTCTAGCTACGCCGAACGTCTCGATGGAAGGGCGTTCGATTACACCCGTGTCCTGTTCACGACGTCAGGACGTATCTAGACTCCTCGACGAAGACTGCAGGCGATCCGTGCGAATAGTACGCACATGGCTCTGTGTATAGAGCAGAATTGAGCACCAGGACGTGTGTCGTCCTAGCACCATATCGACTTTTCTATGCACGAAACGTGTCACTGTACGTGTGTGTATGTATGATGTACGGATGTGTGTATGATGGGTGTGTAGTATAGGCCACGGCGGTTACGTTCTATGCGTGTAAGTGTACCATCGGTGTGTCAGAGTGTATGGCATTTAACCCTTAGCAGTCCAAGTTCTAAAAACCTTGACGGTTGTGTTGACAGAAATCGTTTACAGGATCGTAACGTACCTTCATTTATTTTAAATAGTAAAAATTTAACCGTTCTTTCTCTGAGTGTACTTGTACCATCAAGGGTTAATTAATTGTCGCCTGTTTCTCAATGTCTTCCTTAATCCCCAAAGAAAACCCATCGATCGATGGACACTCCCGTTTTCTGATTGGCTGTCGCTAGCCGAGACATCGCCGTAGAGTTCTCAACGTCGGCCGGCTAGGCAAGGGATACCATGATATCGCATACTTGCATTAAAAAAAAACGTACGAACAGGGTCACGATGAGTTTTTTTTTTTCCGTTGAGTACACGTAGGTCTGTCGCGTAGTCACCGCTTTAAAGACTCGTAGAGAGGTAAGGCTCTCCCTGCCACTCGTCTACCGCATCGCCGGCCCGGGGGGGCGTGGACGTTGAAAGCTCTGAGACTTTTTCGTGTTCTCTGTCTTTCTCTTTCTCTCTCTCACACACACACACACACTCTCGCTCTCTCAGTCTGACGTGCCATGGTTGGCGACACTCCGAGCTTAGAGCCAGGGGGGGAATACCCTCTCATAACGTGCGCCGCCGAATTCGCAGGTGCAACTGCAAAAACAGACATCGTTTGCGATATAGTATACCTAGTCGTTCGAGGTGTCCGTTGAGAAGCCGAAGTAGTACCCGATCTCGCGTTGCAGAGTTTCAACTAAAACATAAGTTTTTCGAAACTTTTTAAACTGTACATGAAAGAGAGGAGAAAAGACACATGTGTAGTATAACAGAGTAAATCTATACAGGGTGCGTCGCAAGTCAGGTTGAGATATCGTCGGGAACTGGACTTGTGACGTAACCTGTACAATTCTAATTTATTGGTTCGATCTACTTGGTTGTTTTTCGTGCAATGGACAATTTCTGGCAATCTACACTGCCGTGGGCACACTACAGGAATATAGAGAGACAATGTCAAATAATTTTGTCAAGTATGCATGTATATGTTTAAAACAACGCGAGCTCGGGATATATGGTGTATTCGTCGATTTAGAAATTGTAATCACCTCTTTGCCTCGCGTTCTAAACCCCGTTTCCAATGTATGCGCCGTTGCGTATCCCCGTTACGGTCTGCACCTGCGAGCGCAGCGTGTCACGACGCGTACCCATCTCCCACGGGGAGCAGACCCATGGTAGTATCGGTTGGCGGTGGTAGTTGGAACGTAACCATAGATAATCGATCGGCGGGCAACCGACACGTTACGGTAATAAATAAGAAAAAGAAGACCTCCTGGAGAGTCGGCCAACCAGGCGTCAATGGATTCGAGAGAGGCCAACCAACGGTTCGACTTGCAGTTTTTTTTTTTTTGTTTCGAGCCGCGCTTTTTATTTGCTCTGCGGCATCAGTGGGTAAAAATCGATGAGGTGACTCAACGATGTTAAAATCGGGGGCTATGATCCAACGCACATCAACGACTCGTGCGTACTACTGCTGCTACCGGTGCTGACGCAGGCGCTGCCCACGTTGCTGCTGCCACAGCTGCCGCTAGACGGCGCTAAGTGTTGCTGCTGCTGTTGATGCTGATGGTGCTGCTGTTGGTGGTGCTGGTGTTGCTCCTGCGCCGTCGTACTCCTGAGGATGTCGTCCGCGGACAGGGGCGTCAGCTTCCATCCAGGCATGAAGTCTAAGTCTAAGTCCGGACCGATATCGACGTCCAGTAGCTCGTTGTTGTTCAATGGGTCCAGGGGCGACTGACTCGATAGAGAAAGCACGCTGCCCCAGTTGATCGAACGGCTATCGTCGCTGTCGCCGATACCGGAATCGACGTCAGTTTCATTCGACGATGTCGGAGGCATTGGAAACGGCGTCAGCCTGCCCTGCTCCGGTGGTTGGAGTTGAGCGATCGGCGCTGGTATAACCGGCTCCATGGGCGGCGGACTTCTGTCCCTCTCCATCTCGCGTTCCAGATGCCTGAGCGTGTTGCAGATGAGAACCGATCGATGAAGGCTCGGATCTGGGAACTGGCGATACCTCGCCAGCTTGCACATAGAAATGTTCAGGACGGCTAGCCGCCTTTGTCTGTAACAGGCTCTGCCGCGTCGACACCAACTCGACCTCGAGCCCTCGCAGCACCTCTCGTTCGCTCGGTAACTCGAGCCGAGCTCCAGATAACTCTTCCCGTTTTCCTCGCGCCGTATCGTCGGCGGCTCGTAATGATGAGGCGCCCCCCACTGCGGCTGAGGTCTCGAGAGTTGACTGTAACCGTTGTTACCGACCGGACTGCCCGGTCCACGTTGATGATGGTAATAATGCTGCGGATGATGGTGCAGGTGGGCCACCGTGGATGCCGGCGGCGCTGACGTTGGTGTCGACGACTGTTGTTGCTGTTGCTGCTGCTGCGACGACTGATGCTGTTGTTGTTGCTGTTGCTGCTGCTGCTGCTGCTGCTGCTGCTGCTGTTGCTGGGAACTAGCCGATGTTGGCTGACAAGGATTCGTCTGCAGGCATGGCGGACTCACTTCCATCTCGTAATATGACGTCGGCGTTTGGCTCAGCGGGGGCGTGTAACCATCTTCCATTGCCCACCAGCTACCCTCCACTCGGCCTAACTTCGATGGGCTCTCGCCCATATCCATGTCGAACTCCATGCAGCCCACACCTCCCTCCAGTTTACGTTTTCCTGCCGTGGCCTGCAGACCCATCATTGCACAACTCTGAAAATAGATCAAGAACGCGATTAGTCAGAGGCAAATTCTGATTTTGCAGAAGACATTGGTTAACTTCAATAACTTGTAGAACTGGAGAAGGAAGTAATGAAGTCGAAGTAACTTGTTGGAAGGAAAGAAACTCTTGATTATTTTTAAAAGAATATTTATCGAATGCTTTGGAAATGGAGGCTTCCTCGTTTAGTTTTACTTAATAAAGAAATAATTACTGGAGTCATGAGAAAGATAAACCGAAGGAACTAGAGGGCGTTTTAGCGACATGCCAGCGAAAGATCTCGCCGAGTCTCGATACTCTATTACAAGCGGGAGAGTAGGCAAAACGACATGACTCAGAGGGTCGGCTCGCTGACAGACGTTCGAGAATGACGTCAGGCGTCTCCCTACCCCGAACTGAAAGAAGTCATCGTCGGAATGGATGATCGAGTGGGCATAGGCAGAGATGGGGGGACAGAGGAGTGTTGTTACTCATGGGCTCAATCAGCAAGCATGCGGGCCCCTTGTGAAATGCTCTTCATTTTCCTTCCGTCTCTCTTATTTTTCCTCCACCCAATTACAATTCGTTTCGAGATAAGTGGAAAATTCGAGGTACCAAATTTCAAACTTATTCAACGTTCATGTAGGTATTTACACATGAAATGAAATATAAAGATCGATAATATTACATAATCTATGTTATTTAAACAATATTAAAACAATATTATTACACGTAAATTTGTCAGAAGTTTCTACGCTTGGAATCCTATCCCCCGCCATGTTGGAAAATGGTAACACACGAATAGCCATAAATCAATGGAGAACAGTTCAACTTTGGTCAACGAATAACCTCTAACACGATCTTCCTACGAACATCGATAAAAAGCGATAAGCAAGCTCGCTAAAACGTAATGAATCTATTAGATCCCACGTGGACATCGATGATTTACGTCCGCGGGAGTCCGATTCGGCGACCGTGCGAGTGAAAGTAAGTAAATAATCGCTCCTCCTTCCAGCCTTGCTTGCTCGAGCGAGCCCCGAGGGGGCGAAGAGAAAGAAGGGGGATATCGGAGAAAATTTGAAAGGTAAAAATCTCCTCTGCGTATGAGAACCGCTGACAGCGCGCGGTTGGTTGCGTGAAACGCCGCGAGATGTCACCACCGACGCGTTCGTCGTTTCGTCGCATACACGTGGTCAGCACATGACGTTCGGTTTGATTTCGCGAAAAAGACGAGAGAAGAAGGAGAGAAAAAAAGACTGAAAGAAAAAGCAGAAATGGAAGGAGCCGCGGAAAGTTGGAAACCGCGGTAGGAGGCGCACGGCGGCTTCGACGTCATTTAAACAGATAATCGATGCGTTACGTTGTTAACAGCGAAGTCGAAGAGCGGCGTGTGCAACTGGCAAGACAGGAGAGGGGAAAAAAGTTCCGAGGAAACGAGCAATGCCATCGGAGACGATACCGAGCGCTCACGATACGCGTGCGGCAAAACAAACGCGTCGTCTTGCTACGGCAATAGAACTTAACGTTACCTAATGAAAAGGTTTCTATTTAAATGAATCTTGTACAGCACAATGCACACTCTGCTGGAAAAATGAAACATGGGAGGCTTTTTCAGGTTATGATCGCGCTGATTATCGAACTGACCAGTAGGTGGCGGTCCTTCTCGCTTGAGAGAATCTTAAGCCTCACGTAGACTTAAAAGATTAAGTTCTGGGCTTGTCGTGGCAGAGAGGATAATTTCACATTAAGTTTCACACGAATTTAAGATGTATATTTCCTTGCAAAAGGTGTTAGATAATGTGTTAAGCATCGAGATTTAAGGTTAGAGTATTCGTTATAAAAATATTCTATTGAATATAAACGTATTTGTTACAAATGTATTAGATTAAACTTCTTAAATCAATTTCTACTAAAGTTTTGGGTAGTAGAAGAATATCTTCTTGAAAATGACTTGCAACACGGTAGCAGAGCCAGCAGCCAACGACTCAATCTCAACTCGGCAGTGTACATCCGCCACGGCGGCCTACTTGGAATACGACTCGCTCGCGAAGGTTCTCCTTCCAACAGGGTCGACCAGTCCCGAAGCTCTCAGAGAGTCGATTCGCGGAATCGTGGGGAAAACAATGACGGATCAGATCCGCGAGCTTGGTTTCGCCTTCCATCACGGTGAAAACGCAGTTTCCTTAGGAAAGTACTTCTTTTTTTAAACGATCGAAGCTTTCCCGATGCTTGCCCTTATTTGTCGCGGAAAAACGATGATGCACTTCGCCCTAATACGTGAATATTCGCTGAAATTCGAATTCATATGTGGGCGACGAGGTCTAGGTTAGATTAGAGACTATCCGAGTTTGTGTCCGCTGGGTGGACCTGTTTTACCAATCGAGCCGGACTACCTTGTCGACGGATACTTTCTCCGTAAGAGTAACTGTTATCGGTTTGGTCTCCACGTTTGGATTAAATTATTAATTTGTGGAATATTTGTAGCTATGGGGTAGTTTCTGTTGGAATTAAAACTAAAATAATCGACCTAACTGAGAATGGAATATTGTCACGAGTCTTAAGAATCATATACCAAAACTTATGCATTAATATATTCATAGTAAGTTTATACTTTCATTAAAATCACTAGGACCAACGCTAAATTAGAGCAGCGTTTGCTTTGCTACGTCAATGATTATCGATTAAAAAGAAAGTGGGTATCTATATAGCCACAACGCGGGAGATGAAGACTTCACTCGTCGTGGTCGAGAATTTCCCGTCGTCTGCGAATGATGTTTGCGAAACATGGTCCGGGCACTTGTTGAATCGAGACGACCACCGGGTGGTTGCTGCAGGGGGTTACCCGCGTAACGGATTAGCTGTGTGTGGCAGAAATGCACGGTTCTTAACTGCCCATAAATCAAAGTCACGAAGCGCGCCCCGTTCCGCCACTCTCTCTGTTTCTCACGCGAAATTTTTCAGGGGTTGCGGTTTGCCCAACTCTCTGTCCAAGAATCTTTTGAACCTCGCCTTACTTAGGATCGTGGCACTGATTCAAAGAGGAAGCACGCTTTCGTTCGTTTCACCCTCTCTAGACTTTTCGCGCTGCCGTTTCAAGCAACTCAATCGCATCGATGAAAATTGTTCTCCGTTAAAGAATGCACGGGTTTCGTACGCTTCATCGCTTGAGAATAGTTGAGATCTCTTCCAATCCTTTAGCATTTTGTACTTCCTTTCGGAGAAAAACTTTTAGTGAACCCCTTAAGTTGGATCAAAGCAAATTGTTTTAAAGAAATATATATTTATACATTGGAAATTATCACTGGATTCATTTTATGTATGTAACTACTCTTACAGAAATATGTAAAGCTGTAAAAAAACAGCTAGATAAGTCGGTTAGAAGGAAAACAAAACATTACAAGTCGTACAAAAACTTGAAACGCTTGTGTTGAATACATCATCAATTATAAGACTCATAGGATACTAACATACCACCGTATTTCAAATTTACTTTTGCGAAATTGCGCCCAGAGTGAAACGTCACAATAAATGTGTCACGTGGACGAAACGTATAATTTCATGGCAGAGAATTTCTATAAACAAAATCGCCCCAATTCCTGGTTTATCGTCGGGTATGTGGGTCAATGGAATGAACGTGAGAGAAGTACTAGAACTAGAAAAGATTCATGACGACTGCGCCCGCAATAAGATAATGTTCACCGCGTGAAGCCTATCTGGACGAGCTGTACTGTACGCTCGAGAAGATTAACAAAGCTAGCTTTTGCGTCATTCTTCATAAAAGCAAGGAAAATTCTGTCCACCGTTAGAAAAAACTTTTAAATGTCCCGAAAATCAAATATAAAGTATCTACAGGGAAAAAAATCTATGTGCACAATAAAACGTTTATTTTATATTTATATTCATTAAAATATCTATATACTGTAGTCATGATATTCATTTATTGCATTTAAAATATTTATATTATATTTATATTCCTTTACTGTACACTGTAGTCATAACATTTATTTTTCTTTTTAAAAAATGTTGCTTCTATATTTAAAATACATTTCATTTTCACGAGTCGAGTATCTTTATTTGCGTGTTAGACGAGATTCGGTTTGAAGGTAAATATTTTTCTAACCGTGATTGGTAAAAATGTTTTATATAGCGCGTGTTCGGTTTCGTTTAACTCGTCACGAGCAGTGGCGAAGCACGAGAAAAGAATCAAAAGTAGAGAAGGTTCGCGGTGGATCCGGCTATGCCTGACGATGAGGTAATGTTTGCTACACGAGTCAAAGCTATCTAGCCAGCCAGCGAACGAACACACACGAAGCCGTGCTCGAGCCAGTTGGAGCCCCGTAGATAAAACCAGCGACTGTATGGCGTCGTACATTCCTAAGCTATATGCGTGTACGCTAACCGTGCGCGAATACATCCATACGGTCGTATAAGATCGAATATTTGGATCCCACGTTTTCAATTCGATTATTTGAAAATTGTTGGCAATGCTGATAATTATACGTGTCCAAAAAAAGAGAGAAACAAAAAAAAATATATATATATTGTATATAAAACGGTCGAAGACACTAGTTGCTTTGGAGGTTAGTTCAATAATTCGGTCGTACAACTGCGGGGACACGAGCAACTCGGTCAGAGTTCCGAAGTCGAGCGGTGGAAAAAACAGAATACGAAGATTCAACGCATTCAAAGTTCGAATGCAAAAAAAAGGAGAAGGAAGAAAGAGATAACGATACGAGGAAAGTCGAGTGGCGTAGCGACTTCGCGATACTGTACCTCCACGCTATTGTTCGCGAGTATCAGCATATTGGGGATGTATGCTCGATTTCCGTGAAAAATTAATGGTAGAATCGAAGTCACTATAGTAGACTTCGAAAAATCAATTTCCTAGATGTTGACAATACGTAGCATTTCTGATTATTATAAATACAGAAATATCAGTAGTAATGCATTCAATTTTAACAATTTTATTTTGTGAACAACTGGGAATATTCTAAGCACATAAAAAGTTCCATTATTCAAATTATTTTATTTCATATTTTACCTACAACTGATGAAGTCTCTATGACTTCTCATCAGAAGTATATACATATTATGCTTTCAGGGATCCCTCTAAGTATTTAGATTCTAAATATCCCTAGATATAAATATATATATAGAAAGTGTCCATTCTTCCTCGAAAACCATGTGTAAATTACCCAATAAATCAAGCAATAATTTTATTATCGACAATGCCTTGCAATAGCTTCAGATAAATCGATTTTCTAAAAAATTCGGACTGTATCATCTCTGTGACGTAGTGACTCGTCGCATGACTCGCCACGAATAGTCCTAACCTAAGTTCGCGTTGAATTTGCAACTGTGTAGCGTGTGAATGCAAACGAGTGGTATCGGTGGGAATTTTCTGCGCCGCTCGGCACAGCACGAACGACGTCGAAGCGACGTTGATGCCGGCAGTCGGCAGTCATGACAACATGACGTCAACCGGCCGTGTGTTATTTTCGAAAGGGGACTCGATCGACGCGACGCCTGCCGGCGAGATCGCCAACTATGAAACGACGTCGCGCACGACGCTATCGGGCCAAAAAACAATAACGCGTACGATACAGGCCACCGTGTTAAGATTATCGAGCGTAATTCCGACGGGAATTTTTAAATAATTTATTCAACATGTTCCCGTGGTTCGTCGCGCAATTTTTGTATCTGTGCAATTAGCCTAGTTTAAAAAACATTTTTGTATGGCGTACTATCATCTTGAGTGGTCTTCCAAGATGTACTTTACTTAAAATAGTTGGACTAAATAATATAGTAAATTTATTATAGTATTAAAGTATTAGTATTATTATTAGTATTATTTAATTTGTACTAATTAATATTAAATTTGTTAAACTGTAATTTTATTATAATAAAATTTGAAGTACTTTGTTTTTTATTTCTATTTTTGTATATAGTAAAGATAATTGAAATAGAAGGTTAATAAATGACATTTACCCTGTGGAATGTTTTTAATCGATGATTCACGCGTTTATGCTCTCTTGCGGATTTTTTTATTCAAATGTATTATTGTTGCCGGAAAATCTTGCATTTGAACACGACGAGCATCGTGCGTATTACTTTCCAGTCGAGTAATGCTGTTCAATAGAGCTAGTTTTTATTCATCTACTTATCACTGACGCAGGTAAAGTATTATTTATAGGTATCATGCTCTGCCATACTGTTCCATGATGAAAGTGCACGATTTCTTGTAAGATATCGATGGATTCAAATTACGTAAGAATTGCATATGCAGAGGGTACTTTATCATCCAATCTTTTCTTCTTTGCTCATCTGAGCAAAATCAGTCTAGGAATAATTAAACTATTTTCTGCAATTTTTTGAAAAGTTAAATAGAATTTTTCCCTATTCTCAGCTTCTGCGTCTTCTGTTATTCTGTCCTCGTCATATTGACTGAACTATCTCACTTATTTTTATATAGTCGTATTTTTTAATTTTGTCAAGTAATATAAAACGATTTTAGGGTAAGGTACAATAAAGTACATATTCGTCTTTGTTTGTGTACTTTTTTCGACATGATCTATGAAAATTGTAATCACCGTTCGTTTATGCGTTTCGCACGAGGAAAATTTTACGAAATCGATGGTGAATTACGTAACTGTCGAATTTCATTTCGCAACGTGACGCAAGAACGTCGTCTCGCGATGAAATTTCTCGGAGCGTTTTCGCGGCTCGCGATCCTGGAAGCTGAACGCTTGGCTTTAACGGTGTAAAGTCCGCGGCAGATTAGCGCCGCGCTATCTCGTCGAGCGGATAAGATTGCCGGGGAGCAGCCAGTTAGGCTTCAAGGACTCGCGTGTTGCGCTCGTCGCGGACTTCAAAAAATTCGACGGCGCGCGCTTCCTGACGCAACCGCCTCTTTCAAATTTCAAATTCGTATTCCCAATTTAAACAAAAAATTGGTATATTCTTTTTACATGTATATAGTTTCATACACTCGAATTCGTAAATTTAGAATGAATTCCTTTAGAAGCTACTTGTTCCTTCATTTGTTATGATTGGACTGCGGATCTTTATACAAAATAAAATTTTCGCGAACGTGCCTACAAAAACTGAACCTAAATATGAATTTATTTTATTCTACAAATATTACAACACGAACTTTCAATGTTTTTTTATATTTTTACATATTGTTTGCATTTTGTAGTTTCTTGCACGTTCAAATTTCCTATAAATGCATAAAGATCCGCAGTCTAATTATGATTAATCCATGATATTGTATATCTTTCCATCGAATTGTGAATTTTATAATTTTAATATAATTTTCACTGGAGAAAACATTCATTATACTTTACTATCTATTTATAGATTTAAATTCATTGTTCTATCGTTTCTAATACCATTATGGCTTTGGGCTATTTGTTTACTTGAAGTATTTGTTATTGCGTGTTAGTGTTTATACCAGTGCGCCGCAATGCAACATTTGCAACCGCAAAATGCAGCGACTAGTATGCGCATGGGTAATTGTGTGCCACGGTCGAGCTGTTACAATAAATATGTTCCACGCGAATATACACATAACGACATGTACGAGAGTTCTATACAAAGAAAAACATCCCCCCCCCCCAAAATTAAACGAATATTTGCTATTTATTATTAGTAATACAATATTATATTAAATCTTATTTCTCCGTTTACCGCAGAAGATGTTTGCATACGTGTGTATATATGTATTAGGTTGTCCCAAAAGTTTCTTTCGCTTTATTAATAAGTAATACATGCACAATATTTGATGTTTTATGTTACATTACTGAATTGTGCACGATTCATTTTGCTCCATTACTGTTACAACATGAATATCTATGAAATTAGATTGTCTATTTATAGAAACACGACCACAGAAAATAATTGAGTGCAACTCGCGAAAGAAACTTTCAGGACAACCTAATATACACATATCTTCTTTTTGTGGTGTGTAAAGTATATGAGATTTCTGATTCCTAATTTTAATTAACGAAGGGTAGCATACTTGGGGGAATGCAAGGGAGAGTAGATCCCCGATGGGACAGTTCGCCTAATTTAAACGGAGTTCAACAAGTAGGGCTCCATTCTCTCCCGTTATCAATCTATCAAAACGCGGTGATTCATATTTCCAGTGATCCCGAAGGTGATTGTGAGATGTAGATTCGATTGAAAACAATGCTATCGCCTGGCAAATATACGTGTTTAATTCTAGGATTTGATCTGTGAAATATTATAATAAAGTTCATTTTTTGCTCGCGAGGAACATTAATTAATAACGAAAGAATGGAAAGTAGAAAAAGATGCGCTGTATTTTATTTTGAACTGCGATTAAACGTACGGTTACACGTACACAGAAACTCTTGTGTAGACGTGCACATCGTATGTACAACCTTCACGATAAATACACTACCCTATATACCGTAGAAGAACCTACGGCGCCGGTCGGTCCTACATTAGGGGATGAATAAAGGAAGGTCTCCGAAAAGGGAGGGTTGTTTCCCCCGTGCAAGCGGTTCTCAGAACCCCTCGCAGCTGTGCTTTGTCGGCACGATCAGGAAATCGGTCATTCTACCCCCAGAGGGACCAACTAGGTGGGTTGAGAACAGAGATGGACGAGATTCTTATTTAAATGGAAAATTTTAAATTACGAACAGAATATAAACAACTGTTTATTCGATAAACAACAAAATTGAATGTTACAAGAGGAAGGAACTTAAATTTAATTGGTGAGCTAAATAGACCTCATGAATAAATTACTAAGTGTTGGTTTTATTTATTAAGACAAGTGTATCTATTAAGACAATGTTATAAATCTAAAGGACTTGACACTTTACCGACCGGTAGCCTATTAATCGTCTCTTTTCTATGGCAAACAATACTTTCTTATTTATTACTGAGATAGCACGATCCCATTGTATGCTTCCATTAATATGTGGATTATGAAATATTATATAAATATAATATAATATAATATAATATAATATAATATAATATAACACTAATGTTATGAAAATACACAATATTATTGAATTTAAGTACATATATGTCCAAACGCTATCGGTCGGTAAAGTGTTAAAATGAACCCTACAAGTTTTTAGTAACAAAATACTTTCCGTTAACATAATTATATCAGACTTAAATATAACCACGTATACTTTCACTTAAAATAAAAAAATCGAGTACATTCCACTCCACTAGTGTTTAATTAAAAAAAAACAATATCCTAGAGTCCTCGCAATAGCTTGCATCGACTCTTTGTGCACGTCTTATTTACCTCTGCCATTGTTCTACCACAATGTCGTCGGTTCTTCGGTTGAGAACCGCTATGGCGTAATCTAGTAGGGCGCACGGCATCTGCGGTGCCCTAAACGAAGGGTCCCGGCACCCCGAGCGCTCAGGAACTGCGGAGAGGAAAAGAGACGGGAAAGAAGACAGAAGGCGAAGAGGGGAAACGGATGGAAAATCGTGAGAGACGGAGCACGAAGAGAAACGGAAATGTAGTTGGCTTCTTAGCGTCGGCCTGTGGAAATAAAGAGATCGGGAACGAAGTTGCGATATTTCAGCCCTTGAGGGGACTACGGACGCCTTAATTGGTCCGAGAGAACACGCCGGATGCAGCGGCTCGTGTCAGAACGAACGGAATCGAGTCTTCTTCCTTCCAGCTCTTTCTCGTCAAATAAATACCTTCGATTGAGGGATGGTGCTATTTTTAAGAGGCGCGGGGACCCAACGAATCTATTTAACCCTCCCGGTCCTAAATGTCCTTTGAATGGAAGAGGAGCTCAATCACGATAATTGAAATAATTGAAATAATTGAAATGGTAATTGAAATGATTGAATAGTAATTGAAATATAAGCAAAACTGACAAATATGTACCTTCCTATTGAACGTATTCGGTTCAATGTGAATTGAAATGAATTGTTGCGGAGAGTGGACAAACTTATAAAAGAGTTATACTCGTGTTTTAATCATAAGGAATAGAAATTCGTTGAAGAAATATTTGATTGCAATGTCAGACAGAAAATCGAATTTTCCTTTAATCAATTTTATTTACATTAGTAGAACTATTCCAATAGACCAGGATCATTGGATCATTCATGGTTTAGAGACTTCCAGTACTTTCTCTCTGCAGCAATGAATATTTTAAGGTTTAACTATACAGAAGACTTTTACAACATAATTACTCAAAGGATTAATAGTGTCACTATTAAACCAGGATCCTCATTCTTCATCGACTCCAACTTATAGATCTGAACTAGACGAAACAAAACCATCGGTAACAAGCCATCCTCATCAAACTATCACTTCTTAGCTTATGTAAGTATGTAACCTAGTCCCCTAACTGACCACCTAATAAGATCCACTACTCGCAAACCTTCCTAGAGTCGAAACGTAGCTGCAAACCGAGTAGCTAGAAATTCGACCCGGCGAAAACGATCATTCATCCGTGATCCACTCGCTCGGGGAAAGTGTCGAAGAAAGGTGGCGATCCAGCGTTCGCCAATCGAAAGAGATAGGAGAGAGCGTTCACCTGACTTCGCGGCTCTGTTCGCTGTTCACTTTTGTTTTAACGAAGATTGTTCACTTTCCGAGCCACGCTGACCCACGTACAGCTGTAAAACACGCACGTGCACGCACACGTGGGTGGCTACCTTTGTCGTGTGGGAAGAAAGCCGTACAGGGGTGACGCAAAAAGAGGGGCCATATGGCAGACAACGGGGCAACCCTTGTGCGCGGAAGCCCGCGGCCGGAGGGGATGGAACCCTCTCCCCTTCCACGTGCACTTTTTTCCTCCCCTTGCCCTCGGGTGGCCGCTTTTTCCCCATTATCATTATTATTTTTCTTCTTTTTTTTTTCTTCAACGCAGCATCTTCCCGCTTACGCGCGCTACGCGACCGTCGATCCGACGAAATTGAATCGAAACCGCAGATAGAAGGGAATATTCCTTTCGGCGTTGGGGAATCCTCTTGGTTCTCGTTTTTATTTCTGATAATTTCATCGGCATCGATGGGGCTTGACTGATCGCTCGCGACGACAGGACTCGAACGGTGCAATTATCCTGGATTGTTTTTCCCGCCGCGATCCCCCGACCGTGGAATAAAAAAAAAAAGAAAGAAAAAAATTGAAACGGGCTGCAGCGACACGCGTTTTCCAGGGTATGACGTTCGTCACACGTCTGCTCGCTGACCCCTTTCGGAAACGCGGTCTTCGTTTCTGATACGAGTGGCGACCACCGATGTGTGCGACTGATTGTTTTCCGTCTATTATTCTAACAAATTTTTCGTAGATGAAAGTAGATACATAGTAGACGTAGGAGGCAAATGACAGTTGTTGGTAATACCTAGATACATTTTTTCTACAATATATGATAAACAAATTGATAACAGAAACAAATTCATAACAGAATAAATTATATAACGAATTGTGTTAAGATATAAGGAAAAATAGCTATGTACAGTTAAGAGCAGTTCAATTACACATATAAATAAAACTTATATTTTTATATGAAATACTTTTATATCAAATTATGTATTAGGTTGTCCCGAAAGTTTCTTTCGCGAGTTGCACTCAATTATTTTCTGTGGTCGTGTTTCTATAAATAGACAATCTAATTTCATAGATATTCATGTTGTAACAGTAATGGAGCAAAATGAATCGTGCAGAATTCAGTAATGTAACATAAAACATCAAATATTGTGCATGTATTACTTATTAATAAAACGAAAGAAACTTTTGGAACAACCTAATAACATGTTCATGTATACGAAATAAGAATGATTAGGTGACTCTAAAAGTAACTCACCTAATTTAATAATCTCTTCCCACTTTTCTCATTTATTTCACCAATTAATTTAAAATTCCTCCCCCAATTATAGTGCAACACTAACAATCATGGAGAACGCTATCACCCAGGACTTCTGTTAAACTCAACGCCTCCCACCACAAAATAGTCTGTATCCTTTTGCATACGGAGGATTATCCACCAAGCATCCAAAAGGAAGAAGTAGAAGGGTCAGGGGGATGAAGCAGGAGGCAGAGGAATCGCAACACGGGTGAAACCTGTTCGCGCAGACGAGTGGGCGCGTGGTCTGAAGTTTACGATCGCCATCGTAGGACAGTCAAAGAAGGAAAGAGGGAATAAGATGGTTAGGTGGTCGCAGGTGCCTCCACCAGCCACGGTAAATAATACACATGCGACTGTAACGTGCGCTCGCGAGTGCAGCCGCTTACGAGTGGGCCGGTCGCAAGGTGCATTCGACGCGAGCTGCAAACGTGCAGGTTTCGTCTAAAGGCTGCTCCACTTATTCGCCTACTTGTCCGACGCTGGACAAATAGCCGAACATGTGGACTGACAGCGTTGGGCAAGTGCCATGCTCGTGTGTTCGACTATTTGCCTGGATATTTGACAAATAGCCGAGAATACGCGAATCCGCCTTAACCTATACTTAACGAGCGCATGTATACTTTGGCCAGTGGAAGAAATTGTTGATGGAATTCAAATTTTATAATTATTTTATAATTAACGAAGATTTACTATCAGACAATACTAGTCTTGCAATAGTATTACGTGCACTAGTATTCGCAAGTAGCCATTTCACTTGAAAAGCTAGGGTGTTGGATATTTCTCATGATATCTTCACGAAAGTGTTATTAATGGATTGGCGAGATTTCTACGATTAAAATGAGTACAGACACGGCCATATTCGGAGGCACTCATATTTCCGAAATTTACAAGTGTTTGTTTCACGCATAACACAAAGTAATCCGAGCATAGTCGTGTTTGTACTCGTTTTAATCAGGAAGACCTCCCCAATTGAATTCCAATACAATCATGCAGGTATAGTGGGAAAAGTGTGGAAATTTTTATTTTTATCAAAAGACTACAAGTCAACCACATAAATCTAAACACTGAAAAGGGATGGTTACCTAACTCGAGTCTCTAATATAAATTCTTTCTCATTAAAAATGAGAATTAATAATAATCAACGAACTGTATGCCCGATTGCAGGTGAAAGCAGATATTTGACCGTTTCCCGCCTTCCAGTGATTCATGCTGCGACCATTCGGCGTCAGGCGGTGACATATCACAGAGAATTCCATTTACGACTATGGGAAAGCACCTGATCCCTCGGTTGATTCAAATTGCCCGAAGACGAAGGTATCGTTGATCGCGCCGGCATAGTACCGAGTATTCCATAGAGTCTACGGCACCAAACCATATGTTGTCCTCAGACCACCAAGTGACGATTCCCAGCACGCGATCCAGGCCCCTCGGCAAGGGAAAGGAACGTCAACTCGAAAGTAAGTGACGAGAGTCAATAAATGCGTATCCGTGATAATTAATTTCGCACTACTTGTCCACTACTTCTCAGACATCTCAGCTGGCCAACTTGTTGGTAATTGTCAGGAGATTAAATTCAACTTTGAATTTTGATTACGTACAATTTGAAGTAGTCATGGGAAATGTACGTGGTAGGATTTATATAAATGTATTAGAAATTTGTATAGCATTTATATTGTATATTTTTTTATTGGGGGTAAGATTATTTTTAAGTGGTCTATTTAAAGATGATTGTTCAGGTTGAACACGTTTATATAATGTGTATTATTTTATAATTTCAATTCATGTAAACATTCTGCTTGGAAGATACATTATATTCATATACAATGCACGTCAAACTGTTTTAAATTGCCATGTTTATTTGGTGTATATTTTCATAATAGTAAAATAATTTTGTATTCGTATACAATGGATGTCAAACTGTTTTAAATTGGTATGTTTATATGGTGTATATTTCACCATAATAGTAAAATAATTATATATTTATAATATATATTTAGCTTATAGTATCGGTACTTATAAACTACTCTGTTACCACGACTAGAATTAATTTCGATTTTAAGATACTCCCAAATATAAAATACTATTTGTTTTAAGAACTCACCATCCAAACAATGGACTACTCCGAAGAAAACCACAAGAGTGACATACCCAACATATTATCCTCCATAGCTGACATCAACTTCCAACCATCCAAAAATCACCCTTTGGGACACCCCCGCGAAGAATCCGTTTACAATGCACCTCGAGCCTGTTGCTGCTGAAGAGGGGGTACGATTAGCGTTAATCAAGGCCCCCAGGACGCAACCCTCAAGTTCTTAATCCGAGGGAAACTTCATAACCTGAAAACCCAGTACGAGAATTTACGATCCAACTCCACGGAGTTCCCCTGTTAGGCGTGTCTCAGCAAGAACTCCCCCCCCCCCCCCCCCCCGAAAAATATGCCTGCCACGGA